TAATGTAAAATTATTATTTCTAACAACCTTTGGTAAATATTTTGCTGCATTGAACATGATAAAATATTTGAGAAGAAATAAAAGTTTCATAATAGAACTCTTTATGAATCTAATTCCATACAAAGAATATTGTAATGTAATATGTGTTAATTTAATGCGAATCTCTTATACATATCCATTGATGCCAAAGTTAAAACAAGATATTAAAAGCATATTCAAAAAACCTAGTTTTCATTGTGAATTCTATACTAATCCAGATATTACCTATCATATATATGTTCTAATCATTAGTAAAGATAGTCTTGCATATAGATTAAACATGTGGTTATCTGATCATTCATTATTGAATTACAATTCTTCAAGATTTGGAATATAATTGAATATCTCAGAATATTAGAATTCATACTCAATAAAATGATTTTAAGTATGTACAATACCAGTAATAGCATGATAGTTTTAAAAGGAATACATATATACTGTAGACCTTTAAATTATAATGATCTTTATATATTATAACTACTTTTGTCTCATTCAGCTACGCATAATCTGATTACTGCCTTTAAATGAATCAGTGCAATTGTAGATTTTAAAAGATACAAAATAATTTATTCACTTTATAATACAGTCAATGAACAAGATCCTGATAATGCATATATAGTTATATATTTATTTAATTGTTTAACTTCAAATAATCTACCTTACTGCTTAGAAAACATGAAATTTATTATGATACTACAATACATGAAAAAACATTTTTTCAGAAGTTTACAAAAATGCTGGATGTATAATACTAAAAAGCAATCAACATATTTAGATACTCTTAGAGATAAATATAATATAGTATATAATATAGAAGACATTATAGACATAATATATAATCAACAATATTCTAGCTTAGAAGATCAAAAAAATTTTTTATTTAGTTTAGTTGATGGTAATAATATATTTTTAGGCATGAAACGTAAAATAATATATGAAATATTAATTGATATAATTTAAGCTTTTGATAATCTTGTTTCTAAATATAAATCTTATCTTGTATCTAAATTACATGAATATTTAGAACTAATCCCTTATAACTTGTTAAAAAAAATATAATTTTTTAATAAAATATATATTAACTATGTGTTTATCTTTTATTACACTTACCACTTGAATTATTACTTTTGATAATTTTACATAATTTTATACATTAAAGGCTATTGGTTCATGAATAAACAGTTTAATCAAATATCTAAAATATTTCAAATCTTATTAGAATAAAGAAAAATAGCAATATTTGTAATAATTTGAAATCTTCATTTATTTTTAATAAATAAGAGTATTTTTTCTATAATTTTAAAATAAAATATGTATAAATCTGAACATCGTAGAAGTATATACCTCTTTGCTAAAAATAAGTTACTAAATTACAAGACTAAACTTTGCATCAAATATCTTATCAAAAGAGAATTTGAACTAGTGAACAAACTTGTTCAAGAAAGGAAAGAATCAAACAAATTGAAAGGAAAATTAAAATATTTGATAGATGTAATAAAATTACAAAGTTATATAATATTCAAAATAACATTATAATCAATTATAGAAAAGGTAACCAAATACGATCTTTTTCATTTCCAACATTTTTCAAATTATTATATCAATCTTGTTTATCTTGTGTTGATAAATGACTAATATATTATTTATTCAATATTTCTATCTTTTTAAATATAATAAATTTAATAAATATCATAAATAAAATGATAAATACTAGTAATAATAATAATGAACTCATCAATAATAAAGTCTCTCCTTTACTAATATCTAATTTTCCTACTCTAGATATAATCATTATTAATTGAAAAAAAGAATAAAGGTTAAATAATTATTAACAAGTAATATAAAATTAAGAATTAAAGAAACTATAATAGAAAGTATAACAAGTGTTTTGGTAATCACTTCAATTAAAGAATCATAATTTTTAAACAGTGATATCACAAATAAAACCAATAACCCTATTGAAGTGATGTTATAAATTAAAATTCAGATAAAAAAAAATATCGATGGGCTATTTCGATTATAAAATCTGTCTATAAATGAAGTCATCAATGAATTGACCTTGTTATAAAGTCTTTAATCATAGTAATAATGGTATTTGCAAAATCACTTGTATCCTTTACAACTTGCTGAGCATCATTTGCATTAGAATTACCCAAGTTGGTAACTGTGCTATCTACATTATTACTAATATTATTTGCAGTATTTGTAACACCTTGTACTGCACTATTTACATCAGGTTTTGGTATATTCATATTCAGAACTTGTATCTTTAGTAAATCTCTTTTTACTATTAGTATACATTAATCATTCACACAATGATCCTTTAGTCTAAATTCTATAGTGGCTATGTTTGAAAATATTCTTACAGATTTGTCAAAAGTTATTTTTGATATGAAAAAATCTTTTCTGTTAGATAAAATACCGATTAACAGTATATTCATTAATATAGTAGAAATAGATATCAGGATTATTAAGATTAACATAAACTTGTTTTTATATATAAAATTAAATATAAGATATCTAAAGTATTTAACCTTTTCATCACCATAGTGTTTATACTCATTCATATTTATTTTGTCATCATATGATCATATAAGATTATATTGATATTAATTAATAATATACATTAATAAAATTGTACTATTCTCAAAAATATTATACTACTACATCCTTTTCAGCTCTAATCTATATTAGATATTGAGATAGATACAGTAGTATAACGTTCATTTTTTTTTGATAAAATAGACTTTATCATTTCATAATTTATTAATATCTTAGATATTCCCCATATGATATTCATGAGTATTTTTTAAATACATATTTGGTATTTAAAGTAAAAAAAACTATACATATTCTTAATCTATTAATTGTTATAAAAACAGTAGCTGTGTCTTTTGTTTTAAACTTAAAAAAAAATGCCTAAAGAATGATACAACCTTAGAAGTAAAGGATGTCATAATATACGATATTATTACAATAAATTAGATAATATCAAAAAGTTAAATTTGATAAAAAAACTTCAAAAGCAAAATAGACTATTGAACAAAGATCATGAAGACTTAAAAAAATAAGATATATTAGAGCTACATTAGCTAATGAAATAAAAGAACTCTAAAAATATATTTAGAATATACTGAACTATGTTCAGAATGTGATATCTTGTCTTTAGAATATAGTAAATCACTTTCAAAGATAAAGAATTTAACTTGCAATATTAAAATACTTGAAGATATTATTCTATAACTTCGAAATAGACTTAATGCTCATAGTTATTATAATGGGGACATTATTTATTCTCTAATAACAAGAAATGAATCTATGCCTTGATTGATTTACAAATATTATCACTATATACAGATAGTAATGAAAAAAGTATGCATTCTCGATGTTTGATTATTTCATGATAGATAATAATATATTCACTACATTATGTTTAAAATGAAGATTAACAAATCCAAAATTCATAATGTGGAATTGTTTAAGTCATTCTTGTAACAAGAAGACTATTAATGATAAGGAAGAAGACTCCCTACTATTGAAATGAGAATTAGAAATATTATTTATACTTTTATCTCAATGAATACAAATTAAAACAAGTATATTATACGTGGAAGACTAATTTTATAATAGTCAGAACCAGTATACAAGACAGGCTTTAGACTCTTGTACAACTGTAAAAACTGGGTATACAGCAAGTGATTCTACAAAAATACACTCTTACTCTTCAGCTTCCAATACTTCATCCTATGCTGAAAAAATAACTTGCTTTAACTATTTTTTACTAACTAATAACCTACCTCTACTAACACAAAACAAAATACTTGGTTCTTTTTTAAAACACTTACAAAATTCCTTTTACTTACAACCAATTAAATTCTCAATTAACTAACAACAAACAGAATCACACATATATACTAACATAATGATTCTTTACTTCCAAACTATATATTATTAACACCAGAAAAATTTTACAAATTTTATAATATACTAATTTGAACAATACTCAAAATACTATATATTGACTCTAATATTCTACTCCAACTAAACTCTACTCCCAACCCTATAGCCTATGAACCTCAAACTATCATTTACCCAGAAAATGAAATACAAGCATAATCACTAAAAATTTACTCACTTAATACTAATGATTTACTCGAAGACTACAAACAACTAAGTCTAATAGATTATATTACAGAAAATCAAATTAACATATTTGGTATCTCTGAAACATATCTCAACTTAAAAGAAGCAAAATTCTCAACACTATCCAAAAATCTCATCAACTACCAAAAATTCTAGGCACCTTGCTTGAACAAACAAGGTAGCGTAGGAATCATAATACACAACCAACTAGCAAAACATATTAGAAAAATTCAAACTTTCCAAAACTTTCTCATTGAAATAGACCTCTA